CAATCAACTGAATACAACCAAAGTTCTGTACGCGCTGAGGGCACCGGACCCGGTCAATCAACTGAATACAACGACGTTCTGTACGTACTGAGGGCACCGGCGTCGGTCAATCAACTCAATACAACCAAAGTTCTTTACGCGCTGAGGGCACCGGTCCCGGTCAATCAACTGAATACAACGACGCTCTGTAAGCACTTAGGGCACCGGCCCCGGTCAATCAACTGAATACAACGACGTTCTGTACGCACTGAGGGCATCGGCCCCGGTCACTCAACTGAATACAAGGATGTTCTGTACGCACTGAGGGCACCGGCCCCGGTCAATCAACTGAATACAGCCAAAGTTCTGTACGCGCTGAGGGCACCGGCCCCGTTCAATCAACTGAATACAAAGACAATCTGTACACACTGAGGGCACCGGCCCCGGTCAATCAACTGGATACAACCAAAGTTCTGTACGCACTGAGGGTACAGGCCCCGGTCAATCAACTGAATACAACGACGTTCTGTACGCACTGAGGGCACCGGCCCCGGTCAATCAACTGAATACAACCAAAGTTCTGTACGCGCTGAGGGCACCGGACCCGGTCAATCAACTGAATACAACGACGTTCTGTACGTACTGAGGGCACCGGCCCCGGTCAATCAACTGAATACAACCAAAGTTCTGTACGCGCTGAGGGCACCGGCCCCGGTCAATCAACTGAATACAACGACGTTCTGTACGCGCTGAGGGCACCGGCCTCGGTCAATCCACTGAATACAAGGACGTTCTGTACGCACTGAGGGAACCGGCCCCGGTCAATCAACTGGATACAATGACGTTCTGCACGCGCTGAAGGCGCCGGCCCCGGTCAATCAACTGAATACAGCCAAAGTTCTGTACGCGCTGAGGGCACAGGCCTCGGTCAATCAACTCAATACAACGACGTTCTGTACGCACTGAGGGCACCGGCCCCGGTCAATCAACTGAATACAACCAAAGTTCTGTACGCGCTGAGGGCACCGGACCCGGTCAATCAACTGAATAGAACGACGTTCTGTTTGCACTGAGGGCACCGGCCCCGGTCAATCAACTGAATACAAGGATGTTCTGTACGCACTGAGGGCACCGGCCCCTGTCAATCAACTGAATACAACCAAAGTTCTGTACGCGCTGAGGGCACCGGCCCCGGTCAATCAACTGAATACAACGACGTTCTGTACGCCCTGAGGGCACCGGCCTCGGTCAATCCACTGAATACAATGACGTTCTGTACGCACTGAGGGAGAAGGCCCCGGTCAATCAACTGGATACAATGACGTTCTGTTTGCGCTGAAGGCACCGGCCCCGGTCAATCAACTGAATACAGCCAAAGTTCTGTACGCGCTGAGGGCACCGGCCCCGTTCAATCAACTGAATACAAAGACAATCTGTACACACTGAGGGCACCGGCCCCGGTCAATCAACTGGATACAACCAAAGTTCTGTACGCACTGAGGGCACAGGCCCCGGTCAATCAACTCAATACAACGACGTTCTGTACGCACTTAGGGCACCGGCCCCGGTCAATCAACTGAATACAACCAAAGTTCTGGACGCGCTGAGGGCACCGGTCCCGGTCAATCAACTGAATACAACGACGTTCTGTACGTACTGAGGGCACCGGCGTCGGTCAATCAACTCAATACAACCAAAGTTCTTTACGCGCTGAGGGCACCGGTCCCGGTCAATCAACTGAATACAACGACGTTCTGTAAGCACTTAGGGCACCGGCCCCGGTCAATCAACTGAATACAACGACGTTCTGTACGCAGTGAGGGCACCGGCCCCGGTCAATCAACTGAATACAACCAAAGTTCTGTACGCGCTGAGGGCACCGGCCCCGGTCAATCAACTGAATACAACCACGTTCTGTACGCGCTGAGGGCACCGGCCTCGGTCAATCCACTGAATACAACGACGTTCTGTACGCACTGAGGGAACCGGCCCCGGTCAATCAATTGGATTCAATGACGTTCTGCACGCGCTGAAGGCGCCGGCCCCGGTCAATCAACTGAAAACAGCCAAAGTTCTGTACGCGCTGAGGGCACCGGACCCGTTCAATCAACTGAATACAAAGACGTTCTGTACACATTGAGGGCACCGGCCCCGGTCAATCAACTGGATACAACCAAAGTTCTGTACGCACTGAGGGCACAGGCCCCGGTCAATCCACTGAATACAACCAAAGTTCTGTACGCGCTGAGGGCACCGGCCCCGGTCAATCAACTGATAACAACGACGTTCTGGACGCACTGAGGGCACCGGCGTCGGTCAAACAACTGAATACAACCAAAGTTCTGTACGCGCTGAGGGCACCGGTCCCGGTCAATCAACTGAATACAACGACGTTCTGTAAGCACTTAGGGCACCGGCCCCTGTCAATCAACTGAATACAACGGGGTTCTGTACGCACTTAGGGCACCGGCCCCTTCAATCAACTGAATAACCGGCGCTCTGTACGCACCGAGGGCACCGGCCCCGGTCAATCAACTGAATACAATGACGTTCTGTGCGCGCTGAGGGCACCGGCCCCGGTCAATCAACTGAATACAGCCAAAGTTCTGTACGCGCTGAGGGCACCGGCCCCGGTCAATCAACTGAATACAAAGACATTCTGTACACACTGAGGGCACCGGGCCCGGTCAATCAACTGGACACAACCAAAGTTCTGTACGCGCTGGTGGCACCCGCCCCGGTCAATCAACTGAATACAACGACGTTCTGTACGCACTGAGGGCACCGGCCCCTGTCAATCAACTGAATACAACGACGTTCTGTACGCACTGAGGGCACCGGCCCCGGTCAATCAACTGAATACAACCAAAGTTCTGTACGCACTGCGGGCACAGGCCCCGGTTAATCAACTGAATACAACGACGTTCTGTACGCACTGAGGGCACCGGCCCCGGTCAATCAACTGAATACAACGACGTTCTGTACGCACTGAGGGCACCGGCCCCGGTCAATCAACTGAATACAACGACGTTCTGTACGCACTGAGGGCACCGGCCCCGGTCAATCAACTGAATGCAACGTTGTTCTGTACGCACTGAGGGCACCGGCCCCGGTCAATCAACTGAATACAACGACGTTCTGTACGCACTGAGGGCACCGGCCCCGGTCAATCAACTGAATGCAACGTTGTTCTGTACGCGCTGAGGGCACCGGCCCCGGTCAATCAACTGAACACAACGATGTTCTGTACGCACTGAGGGCACCGGCCCCGGTCAATCAACTGAATACAACCAAAGTTCTGTACGCGCTGAGGGCACCGGCCCTGGTCAATCAACTGAATACAACGACATTCTGTACGCGCTGAGGGCACCGGCCTCGGTCAATCCACTGAATACAACGACGTTCTGTACGCAATGAGGGCACCGGCCCCGGTCAATCAACTGAATACAACCAAAGTTCTGTACGCAATGAGGGCACAGGGCCCGGTCAATCAACTGAATACAACGACGTTCTTCACGCACTGAGGGCACCGGCCCCGGTCAATCAACTGAATACAACCAAAGTTCTGTACGCGCTGAGGGCACCGGCCCCGGTCAATCAACTGAAAACAACGACGTTCTGTACGCACTGAGGGCACCGGCCCCGGTCAATCAACTGAATACAACCAACGTTCTGTACGCACTGAGGGCACCGGTCCCGGTCAATCAACTGAATACAACGACGTTCTGTACGCGCTTAGGGCACTGGCCCCGGTCAATCAACTGAATACAACGGCATTCTGTACCCACTTAGGGCACCGGCCCAGGTCAATTAACTGAATACAACTGCGCTCTGTACGCACTGAGGGCACCGGCCCCGGTCAATCAACTGAATACAATGACGTTCTGTGCGCGCTGAGGGCACCGGCCTCGGTCAATCAACTGAATACAGCCAAAGTTCTGTACGCGCTGAGGGCACCGGCCCCGGTCAATCAACTGAATACAAAGACGTTCTGTACACACTGGGGGCACCGTCACGCGTCGTTTTCCATGTTGTCTGCCCCGCGAGGGGACACATGACCGTAATGGCAGTGTTTACCAGGACCAGGACCAGGTGTGTGTGTGTGTGTGTGTGTGTGTGTGTGTGTGTGTGTGTGTGTGTGAGGGGGGGGGGGGGGTGGAGGATTATTGGCAAGTCATCTGTGTGTGCGGGAGAGGCGGGGGGGGGGGGAGAGTTGTTGGTAAGTCATTTGTGTGTGGGGGAGGGGGGGGGGGGTGGCAGTGGCGAGTCATCTGTGTGTGTGGGACTGAGGGTGTTGGCAAGTCATCTGTGTGTGTGCAGGGCGGGGGAGGGGCGGGGCGGGGGGAGGGGGGAAGGGCAGGGAGGGATTATTGACAAGTAATGTGTTTGGCGGAGGGGGGGGGGGGACAGTGGGAGTGTTTGCTATGGAGGCGTGAGTGTGTCCAGGGGAGGGGGGGGGGGAGTGTGGTTGGAAAGTAATGTGTGTGTTGGGGGAGGGGGGGGGAGTGTGGTTGGAAAGTAATGTATGTGTCCAGGGGAGGGGGGGGGGGGGAGTGTGGTTGGAAAGTAATGTGTGTGTTGGGGGAGGGGGAGGGAAGGGTAGTGCTGGTAAGTGATGCTTGGGGCAGGGGGGGGGGGGGGGGTATTGGCAAGTCCTCTGTGTGTGTTTGTGGGGAGGGGTGTGTGTGGGGGGGGGAGAAGGGGGGGGGGATTATTGGCAAGTCATCTGTGGGCGGGGCGGGGGGTGGGTAGGCGGAAGAGGGATAAGCAAAAGTGTTGGCCAGTGATGCAAGGGTGAGTCCAGGTAGCTTGTGTGTGTGTATGTGTGTGTGTGTGTATGTGTGTGTGTGTGTGTGTGTGTCAGTGTGTGTGTGTGTGTGTGTGTGTGTGTGTGTGTGTGTGTGTGTGTGTGTGTGTGTGTGTGCATGTGTATGAGAAGTTATAGATATTATAACATTGTTCTATCGCCAATATCTACTTACTTCGTAGCTTGCATTTGCTATTGTGTTGCATTGTATTAGATTTCCCGTCACTACAAGCAACATGCGCTACTTCACCAGGACTTACAAACACCTGAACAACAAACCGGGGTCATTGATCAACTGAAGACGGAAGTAGAGAAGGTTCAGCATGATGTGGATGCAATGCAGGTTAGTTGAAAGTGTGTTGATTTGATCTGCTTATACTCCATCTCTGCATACCTGTATGTATGTATGTATGCTTCAGAGGTGTATGTACACTAGTGCTGAAACGATTATGTCGATTACTCGTTACTTATTCCATAAGAAATAGATCGAGCGGTGATTTCAATTTTATCGGCTAAACGAGTAGAATGGTACTTACGCTCGGTACGGGATTTCCCCCCTTTTGGGGCTCGAACAAAGCGTTTTTTTAAAGCATGCATTCATCGAAACTGTTGCAAGTACTACACACGGATATGTACATGACTGCACACGGATATGTACATGACTGCACACGGATATGTACATGACTGCACACGGATATGTACGTGACTGTACACGGATATGTACATGACTGCACACGGATATGTACATGACTGCACACGGATATGTACATGACTGCACACGGATATGTACATGACTACACACGGATATGTACATGACTGTACACGGATATGTACATGACTGCACACGGATACGTACATGACTACACACGGATATGTACATGACTGCACACGGATATGTACATGACTGCACACGGATATGTACATGACTGCACACGGATATGTACATGACTGCACACGGATATGTACATGACTGCACACGGATATGTACATGACTGCACACGGATATGTACATGACTGCACACGGATATGTACATGACTGCACACGGATATGTACATGACTGCACACGGATATGTACATGACTGCACACGGATATGTACATGACTGCACACGGATATGTACATGACTGCACACGGATATGTACATGACTGCACACTTGAAACATCGATGAACGTGTAAAAGTACAAGCGCGATCTGAGAAACATCGACGCAATGACCGCCGCCGTTTTTTCAGCCGACTACTTTTCTTACATACAGCATGCAGGATTGGCAGGCTCAGTATGTGTCTACACTAGCTGCAGGGGCTGGAGTTTCCTCCAAGTGCGAGCAGTCTTGAGCTAAAGACAGTAATGTGGTCTTCAGTTTCGTGTTTTCAGTTCCGTCGATGGTTCCCGAGCCAGTTTGCTCAACGATGAGCTAGGCCTGGCGTCTGGGCCTATTTTTGAGCATGGACAGAAATAAATCAACTAGTTACTTGTCGGTGCGCCTCCAGTCAGCTCATCCGTCAAAATCCGCCGATCTACACCACAGGCCGACTTTTCTGACTTCATCGTCGGAGTCAGCGAAGTCACAGGTGAAGGGCACCATCAGCTCTTGGGTTGCAACCAGCGCGCCGCATCTGTCTCGTCTGTACTTGTCTGGCCAGTCCGAGCGAGGTGGGTGGGTGGGTGGGTGGGTGGGTGGGTGCGTGCGTGTGTGCGTGCGTGTGTGCATGCGTGTGTATGCATATGGGCCGCGGTCAGCTAAACATGTCTTTGGGTTTTCGTAAAAGAAGTTGAAAAATGACTGAATGAAAACATGTTATTGTCGAGCGTGTTCACGCTGCGCTTCGGTCATGAACCGAGATGTGCGCTGGCCGGCGGCCATTTTCTCAAATTTTGTTCAAACAGTTGTTTGGTGGTTTAACAAATTTATAGTTCAAGTAGCTCGCTTGCCTAGATTAGTCAATGTTCATATCTGCCGATACTAGAGCAGCTTGCACGGCCAGACGATCGCTGTGCATGGCGCAGGTTTGGTCAGGTGTCAGCAAGTCCGTGGTGGCGGGTCTGCAGAGCGATGATGAGAAATTTTTGGGGATCTCAGAGATGTTGATGTTGCCAAAGGAGCTAAATCGCCCCCGTCGTCCCCAGTAGGCTAAGAGGTACAAGTTGTGGGCGAGTTAATTAGAGGACGAACTACCTTACGACGTTACGTGCCGTTCAGCTCTCAACAGTCGTCGTCTGACACACTCTCGAAAGTGCAGGTGACAACCAAAGGTGTCACTGCCATAATCGAAAGAGTATGCAAGTGCAATGCGGCCCAGAGGATCATAGTCCTTTCCAGTGAGAAGTAGGTCCGTGACTTAGAACTGATGTCGTTGACATGCTCAAGTCTGTGTCATCAACTTCGGTTCCTTTGTATTGTGCTACTCCACAAAAGCCTCTAAGTCTGTCTGTGCGTCAGACTGTGCGAAAACTGTCATTTTCTATTCCAAAGTGTATATTTTAAAAGCGGTGCTTGTGTCACTTTTAGACTACTTTGGAGCCCTGTACCACCTTCAAGAGGTCAAGTAAGGTTCCAAAAACTGCTTTCTGGAGGAAAACAAAATTTGAACAATTTCACTGTGATAAAAAGAACAAATTCTGCAGTCATCGCCACACTACAACGAAGTCATGAAAGTTTACCAGAATTAATTTTCTTGTCACATTCATCAGTGGAAAGTCGTGACTGAAGAGTAACCAAATCACGTCGTAATCACTTCACTGCTATTGTCTCACCTTCCCTCTTTCTATTTTGGCACTGTATTTTGTTCTCGTAACACATCATTGAATGTATATTTAATCATTGTTCAGCATGGTTACTCTTCAGTCACGACTTTCCACTGATGAATGTGACAAGAAAATTAATTCTGGTAAACTTTCATGACTTCGTTGTAGTGTGGCGATGACTGCAGAATTTGTTCTTTTTATTGCTATTATAAAATTGTTGTCTCCACGTCGATTATTTGCATAATTTCACTGTGAGCCATGTTTTAGGTGATTGTGGCCCATGATGTGAATTGCTCGGTCATTCACAATGCTGTCACGTCCAAACCAGCCAACCAGCTAGTCGGTAGCCCGGCCGCGCTGGCCATAATAGTACGAAATAATGGTTGTGACTTTGGCGATGATTTTTTTAGGAATGGGTTTGCTCCCACACTGGAGCTCGCGCTATTCCGCCGACGACTTGACACTCGACTGACTCACGACTGCCATCCAGAGAACACGAGAAGTCCATCGAATCTTCGACTTGGCAAACCTGCAAGAAAGCACCACTCACAGCTCAATACACAGCGCTTCGGGGAATTCACCCCTCATCAGTTGAGCTTGAGTAGGCTGAGGAAGATTGTGCCTGAAAAGCACCACTTCTACAGTGCTCACCAGGCACAAACATCACCAGGGATACAAACTTACAGAGACGCTCCGTTTCCAGCGAGACAAATACCTCGTGAACACCAGTTACTGTGTTGAAGTGTTGACTTTTTCTTTCTTTCTTATTATAGTTGTAAAAAAGAGAAGAAACACATGAGAATGAGTTATGCAGCAACTATCCACGACTGTAACGACTGCAACAAGATGATAAACGGTCAGAAAGTATGAGAATAGGGCACAAAACTGACAGGCTACTGAGACATTCAGCGACCCGAGACCTAGCTCTAACACATCTCCAGTGCGCAAACCAACAGCCTTCCAACTTGGAAGGTTCATGGTTACGTAGGACCGAAGAGGGGAAGGTGAGCGCAGCGAAAATGTGCACAAGCTAAGTCCCGCGGCAACAAAGAATGCCGACTGTTACAGGACGATGGCGAGACCAGTTAATAACATGACAATGCGGTCTGACTACAATTCGAAGCAGCAAAGCAACACACCACCCAACTTGGGTGGCTCAGCAATATTCCAAGTTGGAAGGCTGTTGGTTTGCGCACTGGAGATGTGTTAGAGCTAGGTCTCGGGTCGCTGAATGTCTCAGTAGCCTGTCAGTTTTGTGCCCTATTCTCGCACTTTCTGACCGTTTATCATTTTGTTACAGTCGTGGATAGTTGCTGCATAACTCGTTCTCATGTGTTTCTTCTCTTATTATAGTTATGCGTTTTTTCGAATTTACAACATTCCCTGTAGTATCCTGAGAAGAAGGGAAAGAAAAAGTGTGATAGAAGGCAGTGACTACTGAATTGTGTGGATCTGCGTCGTTGCATGCGAATACTGATTACGAAACAATTTCACTGTTAGGGGTCGTCCATAATTTTCGAAAAATTAAAAAATCCGGCCTCGTGCAAAATTGTCTTTGAAACCCATTTTTCCCATCAATTTTTTGATTTTTACCGATGCCCGGCTCGAAAATATGAACTCCTGATCCCATGTTTTCTGACTGCACCTGTGTCAAGTACTAGTAGCTAAGTAGAGTGAGTAGTAGGTGTACCGACGTCACGGCCATGCACCGTCCTACAACTACATGTAGATGAAAAGTCATGTATATCATAGTAGCTACTGGTGTTTGCGACAATCCATCCTACACCACGTCTAAACTACACTACACACTCACCTATATACTTGTATCAGTGCGACAAGTGTATGAAAGTCACTGGAGCAAAAAAAAGGACGAAAAAATAAAAAAAAATTAAATTTCGCCAGCACTCTTGACCACCCACCCCCTTTTTGCCTGAGGACGGATTTTTTAATTTTTCCAAAAATACGGACGACCCCTAAGACACGTTTAAGGTGATTGTGGCCCGTAATGTGAATTGCTTCTTTTCACCACAGCATGCAGAGCAGTTGAAGTCCGTTGCACCTAAAGGTGAACTTGATGCCATTCGTCAACATTCAACACAGTCTGTACTTGAGTTGAAACATGAGATGAGCGCAGCAATGGAGGAGAACAATGCAGTTTTGACTCAGGTACTACCTACTATACACACACTGCCTTTAGCATATCAACGGGTTTCTTACATCTTAGAAACTTTTCAGAGGCCGGCTTGAAATAATCCACTTCAATTGTCTACCAAATCTTTAAACCAGATTTATTGAATATAATAATAGTACTAGGGGTCAACCGGGTGTACCGGGTACCCGGGTACCCGCCCGTTATTCTCAGGTACCGTTAGTAAAAGGGTACCCGTTTGTAAAAAAAAGAAAAGAAAAAAAGGTTGGATTTCGATGATCCTATCGTATGCCAAGATTCCAAAAGAAGTGCGGATACTCCTTTCCTTTTTCCTGTGCATTCCCGCTTTCGACTTTGTCAGGCAGGAGCAGCCTGAGAGATGTCGTTCTCTCCACTCTAGTGCAAGTAAAAATCCTCGTACTGGAGGTTTTTGATAGTGAGGTGAGAAAATGCGAGACTTGAACTCGTTCGAGGTGGCAGCTGAGTTACTAGAAAGTTACGATGGTTCTCCGACATCGAACCTGCCACAGTACTTGAAAATGAAGTAGTGTCACCAGGCTGAGTGACCAGTCGGAGTGTCACCCAGGGTGATGTCCGTAGGTGGTAGCTATGATACTCATGGTTGTAGTTTGTTCCTTCAATCGACGAGCTTGGCTTAGTTGGAAAGTAGTTCAAAATATTGCATACAAGATAACGGATTTATGAAGATTCGTTTCACGAGTTCAACGAGCTAGCACTAGCAGCTAGCTGGCCAGCAGCACATCAGCTGTGTCAGGCAACCCAGCTAGCTATGGGTGCGAACATCTTCTGAATGCGAAGAGTACCAGTTCTCTGCGAACATATAGCAAACAGGATTGCGCGAGATCACGGAAGTTTGGCTAAACTACTCTGTCCTTGCATGTCTTGAATCCCATCGATGTGCAGTTGATTTTCGTACATGTATTTTGATACATGTTACATGGTCCTAGTGATATATGTAACACGTATCACTAGGACCATGTACGATTGCAACTGCCTGTGAAGTTATGTACATGGGCAAATGTACGGATGACATTCATTTCGAACCTTCATTGCCATAATATTTTTATGAGACAGGAATCAATTGCGGATCATATTCAGGGATCGATTTATCCGGGTTCGCATCGCAGTTTGCGAATCAAAATTCACTGGCTGCGATTCGCTTTTTGTTTTTTATCGCCCAAAACTGCGATGCACTGGTCATGCATACCGGTATGTACAAAGACCATTCTGTACTCTTTGTGTGCAGTTTGCATGCTACTGCTGTACACCACTGCTGACTAGGGAGTAATATTTTACTACTCCAAACTGACCTGTCCTGCTCAGTCCGCGCGCGGGTCGCGGATCGCGCTCTGTTTGATTTTGGACACTGCACTAGCCACACTGCACTGGTCGTACAAGACTGCAGTACATGGCGGCGACTTTCCCTGAAAAGGCTGAAGTTCTCCTTTCTTCTTTCACTATCAAGCTCAATTTAGTTTGTTTCTGTTCGACAAGACACAGTTGAAGTAGATAGTTCTTAGTCTCGTGTAGCCAACATGTCAGTGAATCTGATCACTGTCCAGAAGCGGGAAAAAGAACTGGACGCTGGCCAGGAGTGTCGATTCGTTTCGATGAAGAAAAGGAGAAAAGCGAAAATTCTGTGCGCTTTTAACGAAGTGTCACGATCGTTTGAGCGCTTTCCTGCACTTTATTTGTCGAAGGAATCAGTGGAACTGCCCTGTTGAAGGACATTGTGTTGTGAAGAACTCGAAGTCAGATGGACGCTGAACATGATTGTAATAAGCCCCAGCGAAAACCCTGACGTAAAATATTCAGGTCAACCGTTCGTTTGGAAAAGCAAATAGCAACTGCAGCTATTGTCCTCTTCTGTACAAAATCCTGCTATTGTACAGATATACATGTAAACTTTCGATGAAGGAAGACTACTAATCAATACTGGGAGTTGCTAGTCAATTGTAAAACTATGTAGCAGTGACTGCTATGCCAAAAAATCAAAGTAAATCGATCCCTGATAATGATTAAAAAAAAGTAAAAGTAAATGATCGTGTCCGTTCCCGAAGGGAACTCACGACGGCTGCTAACACCCGGTAAACCCTAGCGGCAGATGCAGCGCCTAACCGTGGGGGTGAGTGGATAAGTCTCACAACCACTGGCACAAGTGCCGAGAACGATCCCATTAGTTGCATCCATGTACCCCTTGTGCCTGGACACAAGCTTCCAGTTGACTGTGGGTAGCAGCACGGCTGGAAAAACCGCTCCCAGGCAGGACTTGAACCAGGTAGATCTCGATGATTGTGGTATCAAAATTCAACCTGAGAATATACAAATTTAAAATGACGGCTTTGAGCAGCAAAGCCAAGTTAGCCCACGCATGCACGTGTTTTGTCACGGTTCGTCACGCGGCACATGAATAAAAAATATTTTTTCCGAAAATGGTGGATGAAAAAATAAATCTTGCGTGGCCGCTTTGCCCTGCCTCGTGTCAGCAAAGCAACTTCCTTGTCAACAATTTCTGTCATCCAGTTAGCCAAAGTGACTCAAGGTTGTGTTTTCTCCGTTTTCTCCTTTGTCTCTCCGCCAAGCTGTACAAGAGTATTAGTTGTGCTAGTCTGCGTAGACAAGCGCTGACTCGTGTGAGCTGGAAGCGCTTGAAAATTCACAACTTCAAACAGCGATCGATCGCGCTTGGTTGAAATATTTATTTGTTGCGTGGGCAGATAGAGTAGCTCATGGTCGCAGTAGTGAATTTCCTGGAGTTCATGAGGCCAAGCAAGAACTACTCGAAGCAGAGGACCAGTTATTTAGGCCTCGACATGGCGAGTGGCGTTGACGCCAACTCAGAAATGGCTGTGATTACCTATCAAAAAATCTAGCCAAAGAAGTAGACAAGGAGCAGAGGCATTTACATGGAGAACGTACGATGGTGGTTTGCAACATGCTACTACTGCTGGAGCGACGTTGAGTGCAGGGACGATCGTTGATCATCTACGTATCAGGTGTGGTTGTCAAACGCTTGTGGCCTTTGATGTGGATATGAAGATTTTATGCCTACTGTGCGTTCGTTATGCACCACATCTGCTGTGCACGTGGCATTACCCTCTCTCAGGGAGAAATCATCAACCCAGTCATTCTGGGTAAAACTATTCCTGATAGCTGTGCAGGCCAGCACAAGAACCAGTACGCTGCACTTAACAAGGTGCTTTTGTTCGTGTGCTTCATGGTCAATGGAATGAGTTCAACTGAAAGCAACGGTTCCGCAGGTCTTTGACAACCTCAGCAAGGTGGTCGGCCCAGCAACAGTGGTGACGGTACTTGGCATAGAAGTCGACAGCGAGGACCAGGTGATGCGGCTACCTGACAAGAAGTTATTTGCCTTTCTAGCGGCTTTGAGTGAGTAGTCCACGCGCACTAGCTACACAACGCGGGAACTGCTGTCGCTGATCGGAACCTTGTCCTTGCCGCAAAGGTGGTTCCTCCTGGCAGGACCTTCATCCGTCAACTCCTGTATCTTAGCTGGACAACTCTCTCAGTCTCTTCAGTCAGTAGTCAACATCAACACAAAAGCTCACTTGGACATCGAATGGTCGCGCTCCTTTGCCGCAAACTGGAATGGCCAATCCTTCTTCTACGATGTCGAGTTTTCAAAGTCCCCAGACCTTGAGCTATTCACGGATGCCTCTGATGTTGGCTTCTGCGGTTTCTATCAAGGACAATCGTTTTTGGGGCAACGGGCCGCTGAGATGCAGCATGAACCTATTGTGATTACTCGCTTCCGAGAACTGGCTTCCACAGCCAACCAGTGCCTGGTGCCAACTCCTCCGCTGAACTCGCCGCTCTGATTGCTGCCAGCAATGATCTCATGAGCGACTCAGACCTTTAAGCCCGGTATCTGCGCACACATAATCTGATGTACCCAGTTTCGGCTATGGCCGAGTTCCGGTCCCTGACCGCTACTGCCGGCAGCTCACGGCCAGTGTTTGTGTTCGTCGACGGCGGCTACTTCTCCCGAGTTTCTCGACTAGGATCCTCAACTGCAACCGGGTGAGCTCCCATTCTGTGCGCATTGGCGGGGCCACACTCATGGCTCACCGGAGTACAAGTGTCTGTGAAGCAGCCATATGCCGTGCAGGCTGCTGGCGAAGTGCAGCATCCGATCACTATGTCAGGCGTGCAGCCGGTATACCCTCTGTGCAATGGCTAGCAGCAAAGACTGGAACAGCCCACGCCCATGTGGTGTTGAGAACAGAAGTGAGGTACATTTGTAGTGTTGTACAGTGTTGTGCCTTCCTCTTGTTGTGCAGTCCTTGTGCCGGTGTGGCTCTGTGGGTATCACTTAGGGGTTTGCCATGGTTTCTTGCAGGAAGTTATGCTAATGAGCGATGCCGTGAGAAATGCTTGGTCGTAAACACTGGTTTTTGGGAGGGTCAAATGCATTTGCCTCTCAGTGTTGTGCTGTACTGTCTCAGTGTTGTGACACCTGTATGTTGTTGTGTGGTTGACCCGCCGGTTTGAGGCATGGGTGGTCAACTGTGTATGTTGTATCGGTGTGTTCCCGTTTGAAGTTGCCGGGCCACCATGTGGTTGACCCGCCGATAATGGAGGCATGGGTGGTCAACTGTGTCTATTGTATCGGTGTGTTCCCGTTTGAAGTTGCCGGGCCACCATGTGGTTGACCCGCCGATAATGGAGGCATGGGTGGTCAACTGTGTCTATTGTATCGGTGTGTTCCCGTTTGAAGTTGCCGGGCCACCATGTGGTTGACCCGCCGATAATGGAGGCATGGGTGGTCAACTGTGTATGTTGTATCGGTGTGTTCCCGTTTGAAGTTGCCGGGCCACCATGTGGTTGACCCGCCGAAAATGGAGGCATGGGTGGTCAACCGTGTATGTGTATCATTGAAGTTGCAATACGTACATTGCTGTGACTCGCCCGATTGCTGTTGCCGGGCACCTACGCATTTATTTGCCTACTTGTGAAGAGATATCTCTTCTGGTTT